TAGACCTTGAATAGAGGCTGAAGATTCTAAAGGTTCCTACTTTCTCGGTGAACGAAACGAGCCATGTGACTTGGCCGGACTCATTGAGACCGTTTTTTTGATATGCGTGCATTAACTGGGCGGCGGCCGGTCTGGAATTCGAATTCATCTAGGGTCATTTCTGATGTGATCTCCACGTCTTCAAGTTCCATGTTGGTAAGTCTAGTTGGACAGTTCGGGAGGGCATAAGTGTGTGTTGGATTAAAGGTGAGCACAAAGGGCACCTTAATAGGTAGACACCGGAACCTAGTTGTTCCGTCCCGATCCAGCCCCCTCTGGCACAAAACTGCCACGGTCGCACAAGGACACTCCAGACACACAGAATACACACACACACTTCAACCTCATGATTGGTTCAAATCTGACAATTAACAGTCTCATCGCCAATCCCTTTGACAAACCCTATCTATCCTGTATATCTAAGATATCTGTCCTTTTAACCTTTCGAGAGTCTGAGAAAGCAGACTTTTTAGCATCACTGTCGGAAACAAGAGAATGGCCCGAATGGGACCATGAGTTCCAATTGAAGACAGACTCCCTAGGTCTTCTTGACCTCCTCGTTCAGAAAAAGGGAATTATACCACAACCAGAGATTCCGAATATTGCACAAAAGAAATACGAGAAGAAACAAACAACTCTCGAACCAAGCCAAACCATCGAAGTTAATCTCGATCCGAATGACAGAAACGAAGACAATGAAATTATCCAACACAAACAATATAATGGCGTGTGGATGCTCTCAGATCTAACGACAACAGGGAAACAAACCTATGAACTCGACAATAGCTTCTACAATCGAATTCAGAAACTGCACAAAAAATAAGCACTATTTTTAGAGAAAATCAAGAGCTAGTTTTATGCCTTAGGTATTTATTTTGCCTCTTTTTGATATTTTTTACTCAAAGTCTATTTACTTATAACTCGTTTTATTTTATTTAATTACTTATTTATTTATTATTATCTGAGTATATAATCAGTGGTAGAGAAAACTCTGATCTATCTTTAATTGCACTAGTTACGTGCCTCAGATATCTACTTGTCCCAGCCATCTTTGGTCCACCCTATCTGGCTCAACCATTTGAGCACAATCCACCCAAGTTCAACCCTCTTTCTCACCTCGACCCACACCATTTTCTTAACACCACACATATAAAAAGCGATCCTCCTCGTTTCTCACTACTGCATCTTTTTGATCTTGCTCCTAATACTTCTTGGCCAGACCTCTCGACTGCCCGGTAGCGTGTCTTTACCTTACCTTTCAGGATTACATTATCATCACGATCTTGATCTTGCTTCTCATTCTTTTTGGGCAGACCTCTTGACTACCCGCTATTATGCTTCTACCTTCCACCGATATTCACCATTATTACCATTGTTCTCCCACTTCACACCCTCTATCTCCTCTCCTTAGTTGTGACAATTGTAACTACATTTTCTTGATTATGTCGTCGTTCAACTACCAGGAGCAGCAGGTTGCTGTTACCTTCTTCCCGGACCAGAATTACAGCGTCCAGCCCCACTACTCCGAGGACTACAACGACGTACCCAACTACTTCGGCAATACCTACATATGCGCCCTGAAAACTAAACATTTGGGACCCCAGCTGATACTTCCCTTCACCCGGAAGAGGGGGGACACGGTGTGATCCGCCGCTTAAGTGTGGTGGCTGTTTACGGACTTGACCTGCTAGATGGGCAGTGTATGTGCATAGAAGACCTAGCCTAGCACGCCTGAGCGGCCTCTTGGAGCCCCTGGTTGACGCCGCTACGCGGCAGTCCCCCCGGCGTTAAATGCTACAACAACAACAACAACAACAACAACAACAACAACCCTCCCTCTGCCTCCTCGCATTGCGGGCGCCGCACCAGTCGCTGTGTTCTACTCCCGCTGAGAAGCAAGGGAACGGAATGGTGGCCACCAGCGTAGTTTCCAAGGTGTCCACCAACGCCGTTACCGAGCTGTCGTATTTTGATGCTTCGATCCAGACGGTAGAAGTCTGCTTTGTCCGCTTTTTGTGTCGGGAGGAAAGGGTACCGGCTACATGTGTTCGATAGAGGTCCTGATGGAACTGATCCCAGTTGTACGAGATGCCGAAAGGAGAAGAGAAAATGTTGACAAGCAACATCCGAACACATACAAGCTCTTGCAGCTCGTTGCGATCACTGTAAGAAACGAGGGTTTAAGAAATGCGATGGACAAGGGCCGCATTGTGATGTATGCGCCAAGCATAATTTGTACATAATGAGCTGCAAGAGTTGAGATGAAATCGGACCGGGGATTTAGAGATTATAATCATTTAATTTCATAGCATTGCCTACGTCGTGGGTAAGAGTTGCATGTATTAGGCCTGGCGTGACTGGAGCCTCTCTAAGGGGCTTGGCTAGCTGTCGGGCTTCTAGCCAGGCTTCTTAACCACCTGCACTTCCCACACACACTACCAACGGTATCCTTCTTTTGTTGGAAGATATGTAGCACCTGCCAACATCTCATGCTGAAGGATAGGAAACTCAATGGGAAGCCCATTTTAATGTAGCTCCTGGCCGTATGGCGCAATGGTTAAATGCGCCTGGTTGTGTTCTCATTTCTGTGGTGGGCGACGAGAACAAGTGGGTTTGAATCCTGCTATGGCCCCCTTCTGACCCGGCTTATACAAGTCAATAACCAGCATACGACAGTGGAGAGGCCCCATTATTGCAGAGCCCGATAGCCAAGCAGCTTGTCTCTATAATACCCACTCCTGTAAGGTTTTCCCCTTATGGTTTCCCTCGCTAGTAGATAATAAACACCTATTTCACCCATCAATGCGACATATATTGAACGGCTACTGGTACGATGTGTACACCAGAGGACTGAGGTTTACTGGGTCGCTTTGTCACTAGATAGGAGGTTTTTCTGACAGAATCGTACTTGGGTATTGACTAAAACTACCTGGACACTCCAGATTGGTACCGCTACAACGAGGATAGGCTCGTGCACGGATCTGAATGTATCTAGACTGAAACCTCTACAACCTTGCGATGCAATGGCTCTGAGAGGCGTGGTTTGCCCTGTTGAGGGACTGCACCCACGATAAATACAATCAATTAATCAATCTTCTCTTGTATCTCTGAGTGCTGTAAGCACTTCCTGCGGCTGATAGGATAACATACAGTGACCTTGAAGCCCGCGAGGATGTTTTGTTTAGTGAAAACAGAAGTTCTGGCCTTGCTATAGCATCGGATGAACTTGATCTTATCAACAGGCAAGGCATCCGTCAAGGAATTCAACTCGGAGAGAAATTTCTGGTAGTAGGCCTTTAGGGCATTATAAGGCCCGTTATCTAGAGGTTGCATGCCGTGACTAGTATACGAAGGGAAGAAACAGAGCAATATGTTGTTAAAATAACACATGATCATGAATTCGTCCTATTAACACGCGTCAAATCATGATAAATCGGGAAAAATCAAAGGAAGTCTAAATAAAATAAGGAAAAATCATATACGTACGGAGGTGTGGCTCTTATGGCCATCTAGTATTAAAAGAATCGCGTCATACTGGTCTCCTCCTCGTATCTCGTCCGTCTATGGGAGGAAAACATCTTCTAGCCACTTGCAAGCGATGTTATTCGAAGTCCAGCCGTTTTCTGCGCATATATAATGCCAATCTGCGGTCTTTCACAACTCCTTGATGAACTACTGGGCTTGGAGGTCCTTTCCCTTGAAGATAATGCCTGGTTTCAGGATTTTTCTAGTTGCTGAGATGGTCTCGATAAAGGAGGTCCAGCTACGGCCCTGAGGGCTCTTCAAAAAGGCCTTCTTTGTAGCAGAACTACCCAGAACGAGAGAGTCGATGCCTGTGAATCTAATTAGATTTTTTTCGGCATTAAAGGGGTAGGTAGAGCTACCAAAACCCGACATAATGCCGCCCTTATCGACATTATAGGTGTTCTTTGGCTTCACCCAGCCGTAGTCTTTGAGAATTTCAAAAAACCAGTTAATGTGACGGCCTGCACAGACCTTCCCACATGACAAGCCGATACTTCCCTATAAGGGAAGGATCTGACCAGAGGATCCCCTTAAAGGGACAACCTCCCGCTGTACCTATCTCTCTCTCTCTCTTCCTTTCCTCTCTAGTCTTGATTTTCTCGTCAATAGAGTAATAGCTGCTTGCTGCCGGCCATGTCCCAGCTCCTCGGTACCCTCGCCGTGACAGTTAACTGACTCAGGCGTAAAGCCCTTGAAGCGTGCTGCTTCCATCCTTTTGCCAATCTAGGTCTTGATCTGGGGGTTGCGGCGCTTGAAGGCTGCCATGAAGGTGCCTCCTAGGGGGCCCTCATCCCCCTTTTCTTTCAACACCTTCTTGATGATCTCACGGACCAGGAAGTGTGAAGGGGCTAGGCCCAGCTTTTCTTGCAATAAAACCCATTTGGTTATAGTCGTTTCCTGCACAGAGGAGAGTCTCTGTTATTGTATATGGGCTTCGGATCTCGTAGGCCTACCGTTGAGTCGATTAGACAGCGTCATAGCCGGAATGCCGTGTTTTTGAGCGCTTTTTCGCAGCAAGAGGCCCTCATCTGTGATATCTAAGATGGCATTCGCCATCTGATCCTCCGTATACGAATAGGGAGGCATTTTAGGCGGCTATACAATGCTGCGTTGAATATAGAACAAGGCTTCATGAGAGCCGCGCAAGACCGCAAATATGCCATTCGGAGTAGGAAATGCGGGGTAATTAACAGCCAATCACGTAGGCGCCGCGGGGTAAATTTTGCATTGGGAAAAACCTTAAGATCAGGGCTATCTGGAACACTAATTATATTGTGAATAGCTTCAGTATCTGGCTGAAAGCGTATTAGTGAACATGCGGGTGTTTTGGTGGTGATGGTGGGGTTTGGCTGTACGACTAGTGGGGGTGTACGACTTCTATGGGGGGGATGGTACATGTTGGCCTTTGTGCGCGCTTTCCCGACCACATTATCGAGCTAAGAGCCACGGTGCACCGCCACTTCCTCGGCGCCAGATTCACCATGGCCAACATCATCCTCTTGGTCATCATCGCCCTCTTGTTTATCATTGTCATCGTCCTGATCCTTGCTTCTTGAAGAACCAGACAGGTTGTTGTGCTTCTGGAACCCCTTGTATGGAGTGACTTCCCGGTCCTTCATAACTAATGACCCGTAGACCTCCGATTCTGGGAACTTCACCTCATTGGGAAGAAGAAGCCCGCATTTTCCGGTCTTTGGGCAAACGAGTTGTCAGGGATCTCGACGCGCAAGAGGATCATCATGGTGGCCGATCACGTCTCGTCTGTACACTCCGTAACGGATCTTGGTGACGTGGGAATTGTTGACATTGGTAACGAGGGCTTCATAATCAGAGACCCGGCTTTAATCTGCCACACTTGCACGTTGAATGTACCACGACGGGTGCGGCGGACAGGCTCCAATCCAGGGAGAATCAATGCCCGGGCTTCGGCAGTGGCGGCGACGTCTCCCGCAAATTCATCATTGCGGATTTGCTGTAGTTCCAATGTTAGAGTGTAAATATTACCTTACTTTATCGGTTGTCAGACGGATGGGAAAGCTGTTGACTTTTTGTGTTGAGCGTCGCCAGAGGATGGCACAGCTGTAGCTTATTACTGTCGTGTTCGATTCCGTGTGCGTCTTTGCGGCATCGCCATCATCCAGCATGTCCGCCCCCAGCGCTCCTCTCATCGAAGACACAGGTCCCCCAGCGACTTCGACAGCAGGTTTGGTAGGCATTTCGTTGCCCAGTTTATTGAATGATCGGAGGGGGAGGCTCTCGAGGGATAGGGTGCCCGCCATGGTGAGTGAATGGCTGCGTAGAGCGGGAATGAAAATGGGTGTATGATAAATGCCTGCGCTGTTGGGGGAGGAGTATCTTGGAGGTGCGAGGCAGGAGATCCCAATCTGGCCGGGAGGTCGGGGCTTGATGGCACAAGCATGCTGATGGCGATAGAGTTGGGCAGCTACCTGCATTTTCCGTTGCAAGATACGTGCGGGTTTTAGTAAGTTTGGTCGTAGATATCAAGAACTTCTTTTTATGTTTGCCCGGGGATTTGTGGTTTGGTTTGTCACAGAAAAGTAAAGTAGGTTTAGTAGAACCCGTTGAGAGTAACGAGTGACGCTTTAGTTGCTTTCTTGCATGTATGAATCTCTCTCTTCTTCAGCAAGATTAAAGTCACGAAGCACAGTGTCTTTCGCCTTCGCATTGTTCGGCCGCCATCCAAGGTGTTGCTGTCTCAGCTTTCATATTTTCAGTTGCTGCAGTTCTCACAGCTGTCGCAGCAAAGGTTATTGGTTGCTGCATTGCTGGCTTGGGGTGTACTAGTGACATGAAGGTCTCTCCCAAAGGTCTGTATCAGCAGCGAGCGCAATAGCTTGCGGGACATCAAATGAAACAGGATCCATATGGTGTCGTCCTAGATGTTAAGTTTCATGGCCTTCATCAGGGTGCTCGAGGCAAGGAAGTCGATCACAACTCTGGGTCTTCGTTGCGCTTGAGTTGGTGATGTAGTTCTAGACGTGATCCTGTTCAATCTTTAGAAGGATGAAATGGTATTTCTCCAAGGGTGCTCTCATGGCAGAACTCTATATTCGGTCGCAGTGGGTTTTTTTTCCCCATGAAAACCGATGTCGGGTGTGAAGATTAACTCGACAGCGTCCCGATTGAAAGCCTCGCTTACCGGATTGGTTAAACTCATACCCGTCCTCTTCTTACGAGGCCCGTTGATCTTGGCAAACAGTTTTTCGTTTTGTGTATGTGTGAGGTGTGTGGTAGGTGGATGAATGCAGACGTTGGAGGAAGTGGTAGCTTTGCGAGAAAAGGTTTGGTCTTGCTGCAGTTAAGCCTGATCCTTGGTACAAAACACGATGTATCTGTATGTGACGGAGGTATTGGCAGCCCGGGGCTGGTTAAGCCACTTGTTGGGCCGAGCTGGAAGGTCCGAAAAGCTTCTCTGGTTCTCAGACTTTGATACCAACTGCAATCGAATTGTATGGAGCTCTCTATTACCAGTGACGAAACCCTTGTCATGGGAAAGGGGGTTCTGTGAGATTTCAAACCGTTCTGTATTGAAAGGAAAGAGAAGAAGATCTCTGGGGGAGAAGCCCCCATATGTACAGGTGTGCCATCAGGGTGACCAGATAATCATACGATAATGGCGCCAGGATCCTGGTGGCCTGAGGGTGGGCTGACTGCCCTGAAGCTAAACCCATTAGCGCATTCAGCCCCGAAAGCCTCAGCCTGGTATGATATCCAACAGGTTCACGCACGGACTCTGATTTTACCTGGCCAATACACTGGAAAATAATTAGCAATAGAACACAATTAAACACACAGCATTATACCTACCGAGTTCATGTCAGGGCGACGGGACGGTTTGGAACGACTCCGTTCTCTACGCTCAAGAACCCGACAGAGAGAAGATCGAGGATTGTACCTTTGGATAGGCAGGCTATTGGGGGAGCCCTGAAGGCCATGGATCTGTACGACATCTTCTTACTAGTTCCGGTTTGCCGTAATGCGTTGATCAGAGAAGTTTGAACTGGAAGGGTGATGGAAGAAAGACGTGCTGAACGAGTCGTTGTAGTAGGAAGTAGTTGGAGTGCTGGAAGGTTGTGTAGAGTTGGTAAGTTTTGTAGGTTCTCTACTAGCACAATAGCACTCTACCTCCCTTCTGAGGCAGCGGCGGAGGCGGGGGAGGTTGGCAGGGGTTGGGTTGCCAAAAAAAGAGTTGGCCGGCTTTGAATGAATCGGCGCTGGCGGCGTTGAGTGCGGTTGTGGCGGCGAGAATGGCGAGTCTTAAAGAGCGTACCTCGTAACGACGATAATTAGCTGATGTATACCGATTGGGGGTTCGGTGTAGGTCTCGTAAGTGGCCATGTTATTATCACAACTAAGATTATAGTAGCGGACGCAGGCACGTGGATAGTAACCCTATTAGCATGCGCAGTGCTCGCTGACGATAGCGATTAAACCGACCCCTTGAAGCCCATCCCGAAGCCCCAGGTGACCGAGTTCTAGCGTTTACCGGACGGGCGCTTCTCGCTGGGTGGTCGTGGACGCGGACGTGGGCGTGGAAGATGAATAGCACGATGTAAATTGTGAGTCTCGTGTTGTTGAGTATGTAGGGTCTTCGTGTTAATGTGCGAATCGAAATCTCAGCAGAAGTGTCATCTGATGGTTGGCGCTAGGAATTAACACTGTCAGCAGTGATGCTTTTTCATTACTTGTTGTGAGAGACTCGTGGGTGGCCGGCAAGTTGCTATGAATCGTGTGCTGCGAAGTCATGGCTCCTCTTCGGTTGTTATATTCTCCAGTGACAACGGCTTGTATGTAAGATCAATGATCACAATATGAAGTGACCAGCGTCTTGTGCACATGCAATCCGGTCTCTAAGGTGCGAGGTAGTGCTTGCTTGCCAATCTGCCTGGTACCGTCGACCTAATCACAGTGTATGTGTGTGGAGAGGATTGCTGCTGTGCTTGAAGTTCAGAGCGAGGAGACGATGGGTGCAGAGCCAGGGGCTGTGTGGCACAGCGAAGCGGAATGCACCCGTGAGATTGCCCACTTCCAAAATTGACGTGAGTCTGATGACGCAGACGAGTGAGTTTCTTTCGGTACTTGTTCAAGAGTGTTATACGTCGAGGGAAACCGTTGTACGCAACTGTGTAGGGTTCAAATTGGCTTTAACGTCGGTATCGCCGATGAAACGGCGATGAATTTGCTCAGTCAGAAACTCTGCGTATGTAGTTCGAGAGATGTGCAACGTTATTTGTGTTGCGCACTGTTTAGTTAATCTGACATCTCGTCACTTTCGAGCGTTCGCACGTTGACGTCTGAATCATCGATTGATGTTTTTCCTGAAGGGCTACGTTCCATTGAGCAGGTTGTAACTACTAACCAGTGCTGCGCTGATGTGGTGTGGTGAAGTAGTCTGTGCGTGATTAATGTCCAACTAGGAGATTGTGATATTTGCGAGGCGTCAGATGTCAAGGCGTCCTTGAATGGAATTCACTGCAAGCATATCAATATAGCCGTCGAACTTCTGCAGTAGGGCAGGGTCTTTCGGGCATAGAGACGATGTGAGTACCATATCGTGCACTTGTGAGGGGGCTCTGCTTTTTGTTGTATTTTAAGGTCTTTGGGTTTGGCTCTTCGCCTGCGGTCGAAGAGCTTAATAATAAAGTCAATCCTAAATCGTAAGTCCTCGAGTGCTAAAGAGAGCAGTACTTGAGTTTTGAGTGAGGAGGATTGACTGAGATACTGATGTGTTGTATCTGAAAGACTCTGAGGATCAGGATGTTGTGTTGTAGTAACGGAGTGATTTGCTACTTGAATCGACGATTTGAAGGAGGGCAGAATGGGTTCATATACCTGATCAGGAAGGAGCTCAATGTTACTAGTGAGAGGCGGAAGCAGCATGGCTTTCCACGCGGGATGGTGTGATCTTCTGCGCTGGTTGTTTTAAGTATGCAACTATTCTCGCTCATGTACGCAAGCCAGATGCGCTGTATCTAAGGAACACTCGCATAAGTTAGGTAGCCGAGATGAGAGACAGTACAGGTCGCGGTTGGAAATGGCTGCCTTGCCAATGTTGTGATGGAAGAGTGGTCTTGCTTTTATGTGAAGGTAAGCCATGTTGTTTTGCATGCAGCGTTCAGAGAGATGAGTGTTGGGTTTTCCAGTTATGCCTAATCCTCGGACACGATATCAGAGCTCTGTTCGTAACCTGCCAAATGTGATGGTGAAGGGGTACGGGCCAGAGGAGGCGATTAGCTACACCAGCTACACCACGATGGTTGTTATCCCTGATTGTTATGGCTCAATTGGCACCTTAGAGGTGCGAGCTACCTTGTGTGCCATACCTCCGTGCTTGAGCTCAGCAACGCAAGAGAGGTATCATATGCCTGCCATATCGACCCTTCGAAAGAGGGCCCACTGTAAGGCGGAATATTGGGGATCATGATGTGGTGCAGAGTCTGACTAGCTACTCGCTGGACTCGCGTTGCCATAAACGTTCTGGTGATGTATGGTTCATGTTACAGATGTGTGCTTGAACAAGCCAAGTGATTCCTCTCTCATGCCGGCTGTCGCTATCGTACTCGCTATCTCGCTGTTTCGTGCCCTGATGCCTGCCTCACTGACACCATCATGCGAGCCTGTAGATCAATGACCCTTTGCACTGATATTTGCCTTCTCCTCGCCTGCTTACTTACCCTCGGGTATACCACCACTACTTCCCGGACTAGACCATGATTCGCTGACACTTCGTGACAACTTCATGCCAGTCAGTCTGCAACACTCGGCTCTCTCAGAGCATAAGCCCGAACAGCAACAATTTGACTTGACGCCAGCCTCAATAAATCCATTCATCTACCTTAATCATACAAAATCCATACAGTATCTCTACAGTCTATCATCGATGTTCGTACATATGAGAAGCTGTGCTCGCAGCTGATTCTTCATTCCCTGGCCCAGCATTACCCCTGGAGGCACCGCGCCAACTTAGTAATCCGCCGAGAACACCCATGCCCCCGTTGAGTGCGTCGACCGATCCATCTATCTATCCCTAAGCTCATATCGTTGGTATTATCATGAAGTGGAATGGCCATGCGCCCCTGAAAGCAGTTCGAGGACATGTGGGGCCGGTGGACTTCAGTCTTGCTCACGTCATCATTAACATCGTCGTTCCCCTTTTTGCTTCGGTGCAATAACCATCTCGCTCCTCGCCTGAAGAGTTCGAGATCGCCTCCCACTGGACCCATAAACTCTCCTTTCGATTGCCTTGTATGGCTCGACATCTCTCATTGCTGCAATGTATTCCATCATGAGTTCGCGGTGCTCAGTGTTTCCCGTCATCATCGTCGTCCTCTTCTTTCTGCTTCAACGTAACCTCCACCTTCCCCTCTCCACTGCGAGCTTTGGTAATTTCATATTTGCCACCCAAGACGAGATCCTTCGCGACCAATTCTCTCGTGCGACCCAAACTCTCGATAGCATTAATGCGTTCCAGGGTGTCCTCGAGGAACTGTCGGAATCCGGGTATCGCACATATCTCCTGGAACGCTCTGTGCATCGGCACAGAGCTGGCGCGTACCTCAGCGGAACTCGTGATGGTGAACAGATTGAGACGGTCCAGCTCTCTGACGAAGTCTGATCTTGTCATGATCTCCTGGGCCTTGTGCATCGCATAACTCGGAAGGACGTGGCCTGTCTCCGAATCGTATGTCTTCTCCATATCTTGCTCCTTGTCGACAAGTGCTTGCGCAAGGACCATCGCCGCTGACTGGGAGAATGTTAGTGTTGTGGACCTCATTATCTGCTTCCCGTCCCGCAACTACTTACGGCCCACTTCTGCTGGTCCATCACATCGTCATCCATCTCTGAACCCAGGATCCAGCATTGGTTCAGGAACCATGTCTTTTCAATTTCCTTGATCCGGTCACATGTCGCCAGCATGTTATGTGACTTCGCGACACGATTCAAGAATGATAGACGTCCACCAACACGATCATACACCTGCTCGAGCAGGCTGTGATCAACCTCGCCTCCGAAGTAGCGTTTGCGGTACCGCTCCAATGCTGCAACAGCTTGGCCCTTTGGTAAGTCCGTTATCGACATGACTTCCATCCGGGTGGCGAGCTGCTTGAATCGCTCGTACACCCAGTAGTCGTCAGTGTTGAAGATCATGGTTACGAGATTCGACGCCGCCCACTGTTCCGCTCGCTGCTGTAGTAATTCTAAGAGATCTCTTCCGTCTTCGTCGTCTCGGACGAGATGGGTTTGGTTGATGATAAGAACCAAGGGCTTGTTCTTCGTCGCTCGGTGTCGCAAGGCCACCTTTTCCAGCTTGTTCATTGCCCTCTCGATGTCTAACAAAGCGGTAGACTCCCTAGGGCCCTTCTCGCTGAAGTAACCGCCGATATAATCCTCGTGGTACTCATAGTCGAGAGCTTTTCCTAGTCGGATCCGGAAGATCTCTAAATCCGAATGCGCCTCGAACATGGCGCAGCCTTCTCCCTCTATCTTCCGCATCGCTTCTAGCAGCATACTGCTCTTGCCACTCCCCTTTTCTCCCACGAAGAGGTGATAGTGGCCCTTTTCAGTTCCGTTGATAATGGCATCGACCTTGGCCTGTTCTTGGCGCATTATCCAGTGCTGCCCGTCAGGTGGGACTGGCATCTCTTTCCCGATGGAAGCCAATTCCAATACCGGGTCTCCCGGCTTGAAGGCGTTCTTGATCTTCTTCAGTTGCAAATGCTTGTATGATTTGTGGTAGGCATAGCCGGCAAACGCGAAGCCAAGCCCGAGAACCAGGACCGAGGCTAGGGTGGTGGCTGCTGACTCGCCCATCTTGGACAACAAAGACTGTGGCACATGTTCGGCTTTTGCATCCGCCTTCGGGCGCTGCTCGGCCTCCTCCTGCGCTGTCTGGGTGCCTTTTGCCGTGGTGGTTAAGAACGCATGGCGCGTTGGGGGCCAAACCGGGCCGGCGCGACGCAAGACGTTGACGCGCTGACATACCGTACCCGGTCTCAGCAACTTGAGGCGAGCCCATGGTCTCGCCAGCATCGTTAGTTGGCGATCCAATCGCTGGTCATCGAATGGAAGCCCAGTCCACCGATCTCTCTGAATTGCTGGTACGAACAAGAAAGGCGACACAGCAAGACTGTGTCTACTCAAGAGGAGTTTGAGGAAAGGAGATCTCGGAGATTTCGCGTTCCTTACTACTTAGTCGAAACAACAGCCAAGCCGCACCGCCACAGATGATCTAGACTGAGCTGTGGCTGTAACCCCTGGCAAGTGTGACGTATCGCAGCCAATCCAAATGCGAACCGAAGCCCCGGGAGAGTGGTTCGCTTGGCAGGCAGGGATGCAGTTAAACCTTCAGATCTGAGGTGACAATCAGTGGACCCGACGATTTGCCGTGTAAGCCCGGAGTCGGGTCCACTTCATGAGGTACCGCCTTTTCCAGGTAACCTCGCTAGCTCCCACACGAACCACCTGCGCAGAGCTCTCTACCCTCATCCGGGTGGTATTCTGCTTTTCACGAGCTGCACGCGACCTTGCGCACATCGTTCAAAAGTTCACGGTCCGACATTCTTTGTTAGCCAGCTTCTCGCAAACAAGCGAGCAATACGTTTACACCAACTTGTTCAAGCCCTCATTCTCCCCCTTACATTCCATCCGTCCCATCATGGCGCAATCCCAGCCCCCGCTCCCTGCTGCTGGCTGAGTCAAAAGGCTCACATCCCGAGATGGAGGATTCTGTCCTCCTCATGATCAGATGCCTGGGTGCAGACAACGAGGCACCATTACGGCATGATACCCATCACAGCCCAAATTAGCGACAGAGAAGGGTAAAGAGCACGGAGATCAGTTGAGAGGAGCCGTCCAGTGAGTAACGGCGGGGGCATATAAATGGGACAGTTTTTACACCAAAAGACTACAGTTGCACTTACAAATAACTCTATCTGAATAAAAGCTCTAGATGATGTGAGTAATGCATTAGAATCGCCTTTTCTTGGTGTTTCTTTTGATTTTGGGTTTATTAGGGGTATACCAGCAGTTTAGGCTGCTATGATTGTTAGAAGCCTGATTATGCCTTGTTCCCACCAAAGGGTCAAGAAAACCCGACTTACAGCAGCCCAGAAGGGAAAATTTAGTAAGGGTAAAATTCTGTGCTATCATAACTTTACATCCAGCATAGATTACATTAAGCGGCTAGATCTTAAGAAAGAGAAAAAAGAGGCAAATATTCTTGTTCAAATCATATTATCGTGCTGTTAATACTGACCGAGTTATACGAATCGTAATAATGAGATTTTGTTGGGAAAATTGTCCCATATATGGGGCTGTCCCATTTATATGCCCCCGCCGTTACCTCCCAAGACCAGGCAGGATGAAGAGGACGCTGCAGCCTAGGCAGATATCGAGTAGGCAGAGGAGGGGGCTGTAGCTGAGGTCGGAGACTGTCACGGCGAGCGTACTGAGGAGCTGGGACATGGCCGGCAGCAAACAGCTATTACTCTATTGACGAGAATATCAAGACTAAAGAGGAAAGGAAGAGAGAGAGAGAGATAGGTACAGTGGGAGGTTGCCCCTTTAAGGGGATCCTCTGGTCAGATCCTTCCCCTATTGGGAAGTATCCGCTTGTCATGTGGGAAGGTCTGTGCAGGCCGTCACAAAGACGCTAAGAACGACGCCGCGGTCAAGCTTGAAGATGTTGCTGGCTGAGCACCTATGTCTCTGTCTACCACGCCAACCCGCCGACCATCAATCCACATCGGTTCCTCTACTTGGGAATCTCAAAGAGTTGATTGGAAGTTCCGTGGACCGTCGGTTACCAGATAGAATTGAACAGATCGAGCCGCCAAAGGTGGACTTCGCCGGCACAATTGACTATATGGCTAGGCGGAGGGAAAATGATCTGCGTCTGGATTGAGGGGGCGGCGACTCCATACAGACCCTAGACCTGTCCCATGCCCTCATCGAGCAGAGGCAAGTAGCCGGCATCAGTCATCATAAAATCAACGTCAGTAGCACAGACAGAACAACCGAAGGACAAGGCTGAGAGTATCGGCGTGACTACGGAAGGTGAGGCTCTCACGACTGTGGCCGCCGCTACCGAGACTGCCAAGAACCGAGTTGGAGGACACAGCCACTTTGCAACAGCCGAGGATGCGTTATTGAAGTCTGCGCTCGTCTTACGGGCGTTGATCTGTCGAAGCTGCGTATTCCCCAAGGCAACCCGGGTTTCGACTCGTTATTCTCGTCGATTGTCCCGCCCTCACCCTTGGGGGGCCATGACCAGGCCCTTCGACTATCGGCTGTCGGTACACTGTCGAGAACCTTGCTTCAGCACGCTCGGAAGGGAGATCAGCGCTCGAAGCCTTGACCGAACTAAGATCATCACACCGCCACAGAGTGCATCATGAATTGAGAGGTCTCATGGCTGGTTTCAAAGCTTGGGGCAAGACTGACGACATCTCGGTGGCGGCGCTGGTACCGACGATGACGCTGATGCTTGTGAGGGTGCTGGTGAGGGCGAGATTCAGGCTCTCTCTCCGCGTCGCGGTCGTCTCACAACATCGCTGGGGAGAATGGCCACGCCTGCCACCACTAAGATGCGGCCTGGACAGAGGTCAAGCAGAAAGCTGATGGCATTGCATACCGCCTCAGCGAGCAGTAACGGGAGGAACTTCAACCGGATATTGTGTGGAACCCGCGCAACTTCACTCTGGTACGGTAGATGATCCGTTTGACTCCGATGGGGAGTTTGCGGGAGACTAGATTTTGCAGGAGTCAGGAACAGCGGTGGAAGGCGCACTGCTGATTTCACGAAAGGGAGCTACATTGATTGATTGATTGATTGATTGATTGATTGATTGTATTTATCGTGGGTGCAGTCCCTCAACAGGGCAAACCACGCCTCTCAGAGTCATTGCATCGCAAGGTTGTAGAGGTTTCAGTCTAGATACATTCAGATCCGTGCACGAGCCTATCCTCGCTATAGCGGTACCAATCTGGAGTGTCCAGGTAGTTTTAGTCAATACCCAAATACGATTCTGTCAGAAAAACCTCTTATTTAGTGACAAAGCGACCCAGTGAACCTCAGTCCTCTGGTGTACACATCGTATCAGTAGCCGTTCGATATATGTCGCATTGATGGGTGAAGTAGGTATTTATTATCTATTAATGAGGGAAACCATAAGGGGAAAACCTCGCAGAAGTGGGTGTTATAGAGACAAGCTGCTTGGCTATCGGGCTCTACGATAATGGGGCCTCTCCACTGTCGTGTGCTAGTTGTCGACTCGCACAAGCCGGGTCAGAAGGGGGCCATAGCAAGATTCGAACCCACTTGTTCTCGTCCCCACTTGTTCTCGTCCCCAGGAACCAGGCTGAAGTACAGGAAGATAGCCAACACGTTCAAAGCCAAGGAGACCAAAGTTGTTATAAAAGATCAGAAGATCAAGGCTCTGGAGGCTGAGTTGGAGCGGCTACGGCCAAAGAAGCCGCAGAAGATCCCTAATCCTAATGAGAAGTTCAAAACAGTGACGGAAATACTATCTCATAGAGGTACCATTAGCCCTGTTGCACGCGTAGAAGTACAAGAAGAGATAGTTGTTGAGTCAGAAGACGAAGAGGAAGATGAGGATGACCCCCTTGATGAGGACGTTTTGGAGGCTATACAGGAGCCTCACCTATCGCGATCCGGGCGAGCCATTTGGGCACCGGCTAAATATTACGCATGAACAGCTTCAGTGCTTTTGAATGATAATTTTGCTGTATTTTTCTGACCTAAATAGCTTCATTCGTGTATAAGTCAATAAGGGGGTGTTTTGGTGGTGATGGTGGGTTTTGGCTGTACGACTAGTGGGGTGTACAACTTCTATAGGGGGGATGGTAAGAGGCAATGATGGCTATCAAGCATCAGAAGGAGGTCTTGTCACCCACAAAATCGTCGGCCGATGTAAGTCAGTGAAGATCTGTTACGAACCAACAAATACCACAGGCCCGTTGGCAGGCCTGAAGGGAAAAGGATGACCTACGAGGGAACCCAATCAGAACGGGGGCACAACACGAAACAGCGCCGGGCATTCAGGCACGTGATCCAGTGATCCAGAGAGCCAGGATCACATGACTAGAGTTGCTCATGTCTGCTCACGCGAGCAACGGTGAGCACGCCTCATCAGTGAGGGAGAGATTGAATATATAAGGACGGACATTTCCCAGCTAGATAGATAGACAGTCTCTACCTCAGTGATCAATCTAAGCATCTTAGCCAACCCTAAGGTGGGAGAAATCTCCTGACGACTCGACTAGGTAGTGAACCCAATTCAGACCAAGCCCCAGCATCTGAGTGTCTTCTAGTTAATAGAAGTCTCTATCGTCTTTTGTGTTGACTTACCTCAGAACATAAACACTATAGAACCCTTTAGCCTTATAGGTTAGACGGCTTGTCACAAGAACTACATAAGTTTTTAGCTTTTTTATATAATTCTTAATATACATATAGCAAACCTATTTACAAACTAAGTTTTTTAAAATTATTGTACTTAAAGACCTACTGATATGCGTCACCAGGAGGAGCAGCTAGTGTGGCTGGTACAGCTGCAGTCACTGATACAGCCACTGGTGTGTGGGGTCAGATATTATGTGAGTGAACCTAGATAGCCAGGGCTAGGCTAGTTAGATTAGGGCTGGACTAAGATAAGGATTGCAGCCACCATAAGTAGCTGCAATCCTTCCCATCTTATTCCTTGCAACACACGCCCGCACACATACATCAATTGACACCTATTGCACAACGCATTACCTACTATTATATAAATATATTTTTATTTATTTCCAAAGGTTTTAGCTTAAATAAGCCTTTAAAAAATAAAAGCAATTAAACTTAACGTAGCTGACAAGCGAGTTGACATTACAAGCGAGTTGGCACTCGTCATGAACTTTCCAACCAATACGATTCAAACCATCATATCTCCACCAACGATAATGGCACCGCGTTATAACGAATCAGACTTGCAGCTAGCTGTTCAAGCTAAACGACGTGACCCTCATATTCC